AGGAAAGAGTATAGAGAGCTTCAAATTGCTCTCATTTCCCCGAGCCCTCGATCCTGGCTATTAAATCAAAATAAGACAAGACAAGGCAGCCCATGAGGGAAGTTACACACTCCGGGATCCTAGTATATATATAATGCAGATACAGTCTGTTTCTATTTTGCTTTCTAGTCCTTACAGTAGAGATTATTATTATTGTCATTGTAGAGCTTCAAATCATCAATGAGTTTCACGATAAAGAGCTATTACTAGGAAGAGCACAAAGGAGTCAAGAATTTAAGACTAGTCAAGTGTTTTGCAGATTGATCTTTAATAGATGGGTCTGTAAATTCAACTTACTGAAGGCTTACATCCTGTAAATGTCAACAGAAAAATTTTTAACGGCTAAAAAAATTTTTTTTTAATTCGTATTAAGCATTTTTATAAAAAACAAGAAATAAAAAAAAATTATTATAAAATTCAAATAAAATCATAATATTAAATTAAAATTTATTGGTTTATTTTTTATATTTATTTAAAAAAAAAAATAATTAAATTCTTAATTTAAAAAAATAACAAGATATTTTTTAATTACAAATTTTAAATATTTTTATTTAAAAGTAAACATATAAAGTTGAACAAATAATTGTAAAAATTATTGTCACAATTACAAAAATAGCACTCAATTACAAAAATCAGAACATTCACATTGTTTTTATTTTTTTTTTACCACGAAAAGAATTGTAGAGTCTGAAGAAAAAATATCCTGGATTAATTAATCACCCTGAGCTCAAATTCATAGAAGAGGTCTATATCGTCTCCGAGAACAAATTGTAATAGATTCACAGTTTCTTCTCTTGGCAAAATTCCGTAACCGTATAAAAACAAAGCCATGGAGAATAGATATCCTAATTCTGGCCATTCTCGTAGGCGATCTAGGACTATTTATATACTCCTGTATTTCTTCTGATGTCACATTAAATTTCGAATGAATCCACGGTCCATTACGGTTACTAGTCCCATCGCCGTTAGTCATTTTATCCAATATAATTTTTAATTTTTGATACTTTTATTTCACTGTTGTTCCCAATAAGCTTAGCCGGTAATTTATTTCAATTAAAGTATTTTTTATGGAGTTCAAATTATATATTCACAAAAAAGTTCTCTTGTCACAACTCTAAAATTTGAATGATTACGGTATAATATTTGTATTTTATATTGGATGATCTATCTTATATTTGATTAAGACTTGAACTTGCATGATTGTTCGTCAGTACTGGCCCGGACGGTCTGTAAGAATTTGGAAAACAAAGTGCGGAAAATTCGATGTGAACACGATGGTAGGGTCTTAGTAATTATTTACCTTTTTTTTAAGGTATATTTTAACCTTTTGTCGCACTTTTAAGTACTTAATTTATTTATAGACTGTATATAGTATTGTATGAAATTTTTGGAATCTTTGATACTATATACTTTAGCTTTGATATTAATATTGTTATTATTTCTACATTCTATTCCCCACTTTAACGCATGTGTAGTTTTAGGAAAGAATTTTCAAGTAATTCCGCATTTTTGTTTTATTAATTAATTCTAAGCTTTCGTAAAAATTTTTTTTAATTCGAATTTTTGGTAATAAAGCTCGAAGAGCTGAAAAACAAAATATGTAATTTTTTTTCAATGTTTCTTGATAATTTTACATTGTTTAAATTGTTGGAAAAAAAATGTTTTCATTGAACAAATTAAAAAAAAAATTCTTTTAAAAATTTGAGTTTTTTTTTAATAAAAAAGTTGATCATAAGAATTTTATTATTTTAATTTCGTAGGAAAAAAAAAAATTTGGGTATAAAATAAATTTTCTTATAAAAAAAAGAACTGAAATAAATTTTTGGTTTGGGTAAAACTTTTTTTTTTTTGGTACTCACATTTATTAACTATAATTGTAAAGCAATAAATTGTGAAGAAAAATAGAGCGATAATATACGACTCTAAAAAGGAGTCAATAAGTTAAAAGATCAATATTTAGTGGAAAAACTCGTAAAGTTATATAAAAAATGTTCAGTAGTAATTTGACAATAACAGAAGAGAGTAACAACTTTGGAGAGAGCTATATATCAAAAAGCGAGGACTTACGTGGGGTTGAACTTTTACGTTTAATAAGTTGCTACGATTTTTCACCCTCTCTAATGTAGTTGAGAACCAAAAACGAGGGTTAGAGTTAAACAGAGATCTTTGTTCATAAATCAAAACTCATTAAACTAGACCAATAAGGCTCTTTACTTTTTTATTTACGGTTAAAAGTCTTATAATTAATTTCAAGTAGCGTTCAATCAAAGAAAAATTTTTTATCGCGCTTTAATTAAGATTAAACAAAGGAAATTCAGCTGTTTGATTAATTAACTCGCGGAACAAAATAACATTAGTAGTTGGAAATTTATGACAAGTCAAACTTACGACAGTGAGTATGTATATGTGAGGGCATATCAAAGGAAGATGTCAAATTGAGAGGAGGAACAAAGGCGGATGTGATCGGGAAACAAAGTCGAACATGCTCTGCGTACCAGAGCTAGAGTCGAAGAGGAACCGGGATAGAAATGGAAAGCGAAATTCGTGGTGAATTTCAATGCGACAGATCGTGCCTGGAAAACTGCTTCCATTCTCACTCTCGATTCTCTGGTTTCGATCCAAAGTCCATTTATTTGGTTTATGTCTATCTTTTCATTTTTCGATAGATTTTTATTATCATAAAAAATTTATGTGCTTCTGAAATTAAGCTATATTGACAATAATTTTATTTATGAGCCTTTTAAAATTAATTTACTCTACTGAAAAACTTATTGTTTTTCTAGAGAAATATTTTTGATTCAAAAAAAATTCTCAAAAATTAAAAATAATTTAGTTTTCTTACACGGAGAAAAAAATTTTGCTATAGGAACTCTATAGTAGTTAGTTAGTTGTAAAAAGTTCCAGTAGGTTAACGTATTCTTATGGTAACTATACCGTTGGGCTCCTGTAACTCAACGTCGTTTACGTAAACAACGTAAACGTTTTTTATACATGAACAATCATAAACAGAGGTTTATTAACCCGTATTACTAAAAAAATATTAAAAAATGCGATAGGGGGGCTAACTTAAGCGCACATTTTTAATAAATTTTTTTTAAATCAATAAATCGAGAACAAACAAATGTTTATAGAGAACAATAAAGAACAAATGACGAACTAACGGTGTGATAAAAAAAAAATTAAAAAATAAAAAAAAAAAAATTTTTTTTAATAGGGTAAATGCACCAATTATTGACCAAACCCAATAAATGACCGATCGTTCTCCAATTAATTGACCGCTCAAACGATTATAAGTAATTTTGTAAACTACATTTATGTAATTAAATTTATGCAGTACTTTTGTAGTATTAACGACATCTTTAACAAAACTAAACATATAATATAATTTTAAATCGTACTTTTTTTATAAAATAATATAAATAATAGCAATAATTAACATAAAATCACATTTCTTTAGGTCACAAATAATCACAAATTCATTTTGATGACGATAATTCTTCTGATTCACTTGAAATTTTTTTATTTCTTCTCCTTCTTTTTTTCAATTAAAGCTTTTTTACTAGCTTGTAACTCTTTTTTTATTTTTTTAATTGCTTAGCAATTTTTTCTTCTAATAATTCGTTCTTTGATATAACCGTTCACTAAAAAAATTAGAACAAAATAAAATTTAATAATCAAAAAAGATTTTGAGTATTATTTTAATCATAAATATACATTTTATAATGATTATTTTTATATTTACAAAATATTGAATGGCTAAAGTACTTTAAACACTTGACAGATTTAATTTTGAAGTTAAGAAGTTAGTGTTATAAATATACGGTCATTAATTGGATTGTGATAAAATCAGAGGGTCTAATAAATGACCGAATGAATTTTTTACTGGGTAAAGGGCTTCTGACGGATCCAATAGTTGACCGGTCTTAAAATAATATTAAAACTTATAATTTAACTTTATTTTTTCAAAAAAGTTGGAATCTGATCTTTAATTAACATAATAAAACTAAAATATTTTATATTCTGCCGATAAATATGACTAAATTAATGATGAAATGCACTCACTCTCCAATTGTACGCTAGTTATTTTTGACCGCTTTATGGCTGGTTGCGTTGTAAACAAACTCAGAATATTTTTTTAAAGCTATAATCACTGCGCAATTAATTGCGTAATTTTTTATTATGATGATTAAATGCCATATTTTTTTATTTTAATACTTTAAGAAAAAAAAAAAACCCTTGTAAAATATTAATTAATTAACTTTTTTATACATCGGTCAACTAATTGGTGACCGGTCAACAACTGGTGCATTTACCCTAATTGAAAAAACTAAAAACAACATTTTTTAATTTCAAATTGTTAATACTTTTATTTTAAGCCGAACATCAAAATTTTCGCCAACATTTAATCAAATTATTTAATAAATTCCAATAATTACAAAAAGAATATTCTTATTGATTTTTTTTACAAAACGAATAGTTTGAAGAACAAACATAGTAAATTGTTGAATTACCTTATGTTAAAACTAATTTTGCAAGTATAAATAAAAAAAATTACTAATTGAAAAAACTAAAAATAAAATTTTTCTAATTACAAAGGGTTTTCTTTAATGCAAATTTTTGAATTTTCTATTTGAAACCAAACATACAAAGATAAGCAAAGATTTTAAAAAATTTTGGACAATTACACTTAATCACAAAATTTATATCTTTCCCCATTTTGTTTGTTTCTTTTTATTAAAATAATAATATTATTTGAATAAAAATAATCGTCGATTATCGCAGAATTCGATTAAAAAATTCTTGCCTTAGATCTGTTTAATATTTACAATAATTTGGTTTACATTAATACACAATAAAGAATAATGAGAATAAATAAATACCACTAAATACTACTAATACATTTATTTAGTATTGTTTACAAAAGTGAACGTATTATAAATAAAAAGCCTGAATAAAATTTTTTAAGTCTTGATAATTAAAATATTCAACTATTATTATTACCAATTCATATGGCAAAGGAATAGCTTTACGGAGATTTTCTACTTTTCTTAATGCTTCTAACTGCTCAAGTCTTCTTGAAGTTTTTTCTATTCTATTCGAAATTTTTTTTCGGAAAAAAAAATAATCAGCAGTATAAAAAACTTTCACGGCATAACTACTATTAATATGAAGATCAAATACATCGTCCAAAACAGGAGAAGGAAGATCAGGGTTCGGGAAGATATTTTCGAACGCGTCTAGTAAAGATTTATTTTTCACTATCAAATGCAATTTTTTATCATCAAAGCATGACATTATGAAGTCATAATACGTTATACTTTTATCGTCATACTTAAGCACTTCTGTTTTTAACTTTCCTTGAATAATATTTTGTTCGTAGGTGTGTGCTAGCTCCCTGAAATGTATATCTTCAGCAATTAACTTGTCCATCAATATTTTTTCATCTTCAGGAACGAATAAACCAAACGTACGTCTATGAATAAGGTCCTTTAGAGTTAAAATGATACTTGCTTTTTGTTTTATAATATCAAATGTTGTCTGTGAACTTTTAAGTGGACATAATGAGTAATGCAAAGCCATTGATTTTGAAATATTGTCATGATAAGCCAACAATTTATCCAGTGTACATGGATAATGCTTGCGAGCCGCTATATTGAGTAATAAAGTATTTGGATCATCATTTACGGTTGCGTTAACATCAGCACCGGCATTAAGTAATTCGTGAATCAATTCAGCGCTTCTCAAATCATCGAAAAAGCAATACAATAAGTTGTGTTTATCAAAGTTTGGATCATTTTCTATTTTATGTTTATGTAATCTATAGTGGGCAGCAGTATAACCATCACTGTCACGGGCGTTTATCCATTCATGATCATGTACTTCTTTTATAAGTGAAGATACGATTGTTTTGTTCTGATTCTCAATGGCATACATCAACAGTGTTTTATTTTTCAGACTCTTAACTTTCAAATTTGCTTTGCCTTCGATTAATGATATCACAAACGAATCATTATTAGCATATAGGATCGAAAAAGTTAACAAAGTCATCTTATTCCCAAAATCGTTGCACCACTTGTCATTTTTAATGTATATTGTAAAAAGTTTTTCTCCTATTTCAGCATCAACGTTGGCACCAGCTCCTAACAAAATATCTATAAGTTTCTCAGGCATCACAAGTTCGAATAAACACGCAAAGTGAATAGGTTGAGCTCCATCGTCAGCAACAGCATTTACATTTGCATGATAGTCTTCAACTAATAATCTTATAAATTCTTCATTTCCATTCATACAAGCTATATGCAATGCTGTGTATCCAGCAAAAGGTCCAGTCGTTTCTATAGGTGCATTGTTAATTATTTGATCTTCAAAAAATGAGTTATTTTGTCCCATTTGATGATTTGAAATAGCTTGACACACTGCTAAACGGTATTTATCAATTGCATCACACAAATTATGTTTATCTACGTCCAGACCCTCCCTACGCAATTCCCTCCTTTTTTTTGCGATCGTTTCCGGATCCATTCTTTACAACTACAATTTTTTTTAATTATTGTAATAATTAAAGAGTGAGAGTCGTTATTCACTATAGTAACCACTAAAAATCACTTTATTCAATAATGAATTATAAATTTTTTATTTTTCACTTTTTTACACTATTATTCGGTATATTTAATCTTATGCCACTCCGGAGTCCGATATATCAATTAAATCACTAAAAAATAACCAGAATATGGTTAGATTTTACTATATATATAGTTTTTTCTGTGTAGAAATTTCTTAGTTCTGAGGGTTATTTGAAGATGCTTACAATGATTTCAACAATTTATTAATATTAAGTCTTTTTGATAAAAATTTAAGAACTATCCAACAATTCAATTTTTATGTTTTTACTCGATAATTTTGGAATGGAAAAATATTGCACTAAACAATTTATACAAAATATCGTGAATTATAACACGTGGATAGAATGTAACTAATATACTATATGCACAGAGCTGCAAGAACCTTTGAGATGAAAATTAAAATATACAGTACAACTTAGTTATAAGTTATATTTCTTTCTCTCTTCTACTAACATGAAATATTTCAAACATAAATATAACAGCTGTGAGAGTGAGTAGATTATCCTAACGACGTTATTAGGTAGTTATGTAAGTTATCAGAACTAAATAACATTATGTTACTGTAACTCTACAACGTATAGTAAACTGTGTATAGTTGTGGTAACTCTACAGTTACATTACCAGAACGAAATTTTTTTTTCCGTGTAGAACTTTATATTTTTGGTCCAATTCAAACTTATTTTTGGTCCAAACTTAATTTTTTTGGTTCAATTCACAGTTTTTTTTGGTCCAATTCACAGTTTTTTAGGTCCAAACCTAATATTTTGGTCCAAATTTCATATTTTTGGCCCAATTTGTAGTTTATTTATTGAAAAAAACACAAAGAAATTTGATTAAAAAACAATTTTTTTGCTTAAACATATCCTACAAAGTATTTGTGACAATTTTTGGTTTTTACTTGAAGCAATATTTTATTTTAAAACTATAAATTTCTTGGACTAAGTATGTTTTTTTGGAAATAGTAAATAAAAGTGCTTCATTAGAATAGAAATTTTTTTTTCAAAATTTTCTACTCATGTAAAATTAATAATTAATCGATCCAAGAGTTATTTTCTCGCATTAAAAAAGCAGAAAATTTACAATCATATTAAGAAAAAAATGTTTTTCTTTAATAAAATAATTTTTTTCTGTCCAAAACATAAAACAAAAACCTCAAAAGAGAATTTTTTTATTACATAAAAAATAAATCGGTGATAATACCTTTTGCTATCGAGCTAAGCGCATTACTTTTATTGAAAAATTAATTAAAAATATTAACACAGCTATAAAACCGTAAATTTGGGAATCAGTTGCCAAGTAAATGATTTTCCTATTTGTCCCAGCTTTTTCGCTATAAATAGAGAGTGGATGATTAGGGTTGAAAGGATTCAAGACAACGCCCCGGATTTTGAGGATTACAGTCACGAATAGAACGTGAAGTGAAGCCAACCGAAAGATCCGTTCAATTAAGAAGGTCCCAAGCTTTGGAAAACACCGACGGGTAGATCCCCAAAGATATCTACACATACATATCTTGGAAAAGTTCCTCAGCGACGTCCACTTGCACCTTGATTTGTGTCTCTAGAGGTTTGTGTGCACTTGAGGGCACGTCTGAGTTTCTAGCACCTCAGATGTGTCCCCAACAAGCACCCTAATTCATCGGCATTGATGTATCGTTTCAATTGTCCTAAGGGACAGCAGGACGCCGACCACGCGTCCTCCAAAAACCAATAAAAACCACTAACTTTTGTTCTTCTTTTCTCCTATACTTTTAGTGTCCACAGATAAAAATTACCGGAAACAAGTTGATAGATTTTATCACTCTCTTTTATGTGACAAATTTGATTAGCATTATTGCTCTGCGATAATCAAAAGGTTTTCTTTGTGATTTTTTTTATGAACGCCATTATAATGAAATAATTATTTATAAGTCAAAAAATTAAACATTATATTTGATAAATTCATTTAAAATTCAGCTATTTAAATTTTTTCTTGTCAAAAGTAAAATAAATAATAATTTATACGATGTTAAAAAATATTTGAAGCCTCATTTTTGATTTACTATATTCACAAAAATTATTTTGTGTAAATATAGAGTACTTAAGTAATTAACTAACCAAAATACACTGAAAAAAAAATTAATTCTAATCAAGAAAAAAAATTCTTTAACCAAAAAAATAGTTTTGAAGAGTTCCATTATTTTGAATCAAGACAAAAAAATTTTTGAATCAAGTAAAATTAATTAATTAAAATTAAAATTAAGTTTTTTTCTGTGTAAAGAACAAAATTTAAACTTATAAAAGTTACCAAATTTTTTATATGAACCTTAGATCTTTTTTTATCTTATTAAATGGATAAAGATTGTTTTTTTTTTTTTTGTAAAATTGGAAATATCGATACTATTAAAAAGCGAGCTTCATTATATACAGCTGAGCACAATAAAAACGCTAAATTACATAAACTAGGACGAACATGTATATAACTTTCCAAGCTTTTATTCTTGAGCGAGTGAATATTGCTGAACATGCAACCGAGGGAGGAAAATAGCATCGAAAGATATAAATTCGAACATTTCCAGCTGTCTTGAAAGAGACCGCACACGGGCTCTATACCACAAATTGTATTTGCTAATCGCGTGTGGAAAACGCAGACTTTAACCCTCGACAATTTAATGGAACTGAAGAGAGAAAGTGAAATGGAGTACTAGTGAAATTTTCGACGAAGCAAAGAACATAAAATAGTCGAGAAAAAAAAAAGTGTTTGTGCCATGCCAGGACAAAGACTTTCATTTCCTGCATTTATGCCGGACAACTCGATGGCCACTCGTTGCTTTTTATTACAAGTTTTTCTCTCCCAACATCCACAAAATATATTTTATTTTCCTTGCACTCAAGACTACCTTTTGAATTTCCTCCGGTCGGATAGTTTGTGCGTCTTCTGATTATTGGGTTTTCCGGTGCTGATGAGACTGATAACGGAATCCAGTTTCCGATTGATGAAACGAATTTCAGAAGGAAAATAAAACAAAAGATAAATAACTATTGTCATTAAACTTTTTTTGGACTAGCGCCAAATTTACTTAGGTACTCAAAATAAAAAATCGAGAAAAGTAGTCAGTATCGCAAGCGAAGAGAGAAAATCTCTCAATTCCCGGGAGCACTTTTCAGGCGCAAGCAACGCCTCGTAAATTTTACGGGACGTTTTAAAATGTCCCTATGGCAGTACTTTGACTCTGTGCGTCTTTGACAGAAAGAAAGAAAGAATACTAAAGTAAGAGAGAAAAAATTTGAAATATAAAAAAAGCACCCCCTTATAAAAGTATGAACGACTTGCATTAGCATTCCAAAATCGTGTCGACGATTCATCTCCCGTTGGGACAGGAATCCAAACGATTTCGATCGAATTTTCCCGTGTTGTTTTCCAAATGGTGAATTTACGATAGTTCAGGTCATCTTGTTTGTATTCGATTATTGTAAAAAAGAAAAAAAACGATACATTACAAGTAAAAAATTCACCGCGAAAATTGTAAATAAATTAACTTTATCAATGGAATTTAATCAGAAAATGGTTTTTTAAAACTTTAAATAATTAACTCGTAATACTTTAGTGGGGATTTCAGGTAAGCACTTTCTTAAGTCTAGAAAATTACTTTTAATTGAAACGTTCCCTTTCCATTGAATATTTCAGACACCCTTTCTTCATTTTTCTATTATTTTTTTATTTTATTCTTTTCTTTGGCTCTTTTCACCCCTGTAGTAATAATAATAACAATGACAAAGACTTGAGAAACTGTTTTCCAAATGATCATAGTTATTTCTCGAAAGCGATTTTTTTATTTTTTCTCCGAGACTCCTTTTCGTAGTATATTTGCAGTATCTCATACGATTCGATGCCATTGGTAGATTTTCCCGGGGACACAAAGTATAAAAGAAATGACAACACGGAAAGCGGTAGTAGTCTACACATGTTACCTCATCTTGCGTATGCGTAAGTATATTCTTATGTTATGTGTGACATGTAAATATCTTGCCTGCGGTTCGTGTTTTAGACTATCACAAAATTCTGAATTTAAATTATGCATGGAAAATATTATATATGGAAATTTCATTTACAAAAAATAATTACAGGTATGATAATGCCAAAATTACACTATTAAGTAATTTTATATTTACACAATAGATCTTTAAGAATAATACTAGCAACCTTGCAGTCACTATGTGACGGCTGTGACTTGTAAATTATGAATAAATAAAATTTTGCTTTATTAGATTGCACTGTACTTTTTTAACTATTGAAGTTTTTAAAAATATAAGCTCATCCCGATGTTACACTCATCAAGAGCTTTCATTTGAGTACCCACATGCATTTTTGATATATTTTTCATATATACATATATAATATATATATATATATATATATATATATATGTATATATGAAAAATATATAAAAATTGATGTGGGTACTCAAATGAAAGGTCTTGATGAGTGTAATGTCGGGGTGAGCTTATATCTTTAAAAATGTCAATAGTTCATAAGATACAAGGTCATTTCTTAATTATGTATTTAGAGATAGAGCATTTTCGCATGCAGCCTAAATACTTATCATCATAAATTTATTTATTAAATTTTAATGCCAATAATTTCTTAAAGAACTTGATCATAAAAGCAATTTACACAAGAAATCAAAATGACAATTAGAAATAACCAACGACAGGTGTTATGAATGAGGATGTTTCCGAGGTTTCACCAAGCCAATCCAACCACTAATTAAATTAATTAGAACAACCCTCTCTAAAAGATTCCAAAAAGCGGTATTAATATTTTCGTTTTCTTCTAAACAAGGTTACTCAATCGGAAAAACTTAAAATTTACAACAAAAGGAAAACTAGATCCCGATATAGCTCTCGTTTCAATTAACGC